GCCCAGTCCCTGCAACTTCTGTGTGAAACTTTAGCTCTTTGGTGCTCAGATAAGACTTGCAGACCTTTGGCCTTTCTTTGAACTAGAGGGAAGACAAAGGAAATACTCCAAAGTCAGTGAAACAAGAGCTAAATTTCTTTAGATAGAAGAAGAATGAGAAGAAGCTGTGAAGATGGCTGAAAATCCTTTTGTGAGCTGTAAGGTGAACTCTACTGCACTAAAATTCCTATAAACGATGGAAAAAGACATGGGAAGTTGGAGTGTTCCATTTGATAAACCATTTAACCAAAAGCACCTGTGTTAAGAATCTTTTGCCCTGAGGAAAGAAAGAGATCTCAGTTTTCTGAAGATGAAGGATAAACAGAGAGAAAAGAGATGAAGAAAATTTTTGCTTTAGAACAGTTCATTCTTAAAAGTAATATTCCATGAGTTTGACATGGCCCACAAGCACAGCTCTGGGGATGCTGTGAATTTCAGAAAAGTACAACGGTGACAAATTCCCAGGCGGCTGCTATTCGTGAAAGTCAAAGAAAAAACTGTTTCCTTCCCCTCTTGAGAAAGAAATTCCTACAGCCAAATAAGAGGAAGCTCCTTTCTCTAAAGTGAACTGAATAAGATTATTTAAGTGGGGAACTGACTGAAGTGTCTTTGTATGTTGTTGTTAAGAAGGAATGGAAAAAGGGAGGAGTGGTCTGAAAATCTTATTCTAAATTTACAGTTCTCCTTTTTTTTGTGTGTAGTTAATAGATTTCTTTTTATTCCCTTTTAAGTTTTAGGCCTGCCTTGCTTTTGCTCGTGGTTCAATCTCACAGCAGAAAATTAGTATATTTAAACTGGCAAATCAAAACTATAACACAGTGCTAAGGATAAAACCATCAGACGTAATCCAACATTTCAGGCAAAATTTGCACCAGTGAAATTAAACCAAAGTACACCAAAGGTTTGGACTTTATTCCAAGCAAACACCATACAAAGCAAGTTCCAAGTTAAACTCTGGAAGCTACAGGTAGGTATCGTGAAAAAACACTTCCACCCCACTATACTGGAGCACATTCCATTCTCTAATACAGGAATAAGGCATATGCCTAGGATGAAGCCAGGCAGGGCTGCTCAGGAAAGGGCAGGGAATGTCTCCTTTGTCAGTCAAGGTTGGAAGATTACCAAGCTGTCGTCTCTTCACCCAGTCTGGAGGGATGAAGAAAAGGAGCTTTGTTTAAGAAGAGACTCAGAGTGTTCAGCTCATCACCAGGCAGCTCTGCCCATGCCTACAATAGTCACAATGATTCCACAAAGACATTTTAGAATCAACACCAGCTAAACCAGACAGATACCAAGTGCTTATGACTTCCAGGGCAGCTTTATGCGAGTGAAGAACAAGGAGCAACAACAAACATTTACTAAATAGCTGTGCATAACTGAAGCTGTGGCAATAAATACATAGCCCAACAAAATTTGATGAGAAAAAGGCTTGAAGATCTCTTTTGGAGTGTTATCATGCAGTACTGCCTAATAGAGCAGATTGAAGAGGTTCTTAGGTGGATAGTTGTGGTGACTCTGATGCATCCAGTTAACACACCCATCTCACACTTTCTCAGTTTGATTTCACTGGTTTCATTAATAACTTAAATATTTTGGTATTTCCCCCATTCCAAAATGGACTTGAGGGAGAAAAACATCCTCATGAGTTAGCAAGAATTTGAATCACAAGAATGTAAATCTGTTATTCCCCTGCTTATGGTTTTGAGAAGGTAAAAGGTGATTACTACCCCATGTATAACTATCTTCAAGAAGAGAAGTTATTATGAGTAAAATCCTCTTCTCATTCTCAGTCAGAAGTCAAATTACCATAGATTTCACTGCCTTAGAGCACTGGTTTTGCTAAAGCTGATGTTTACCTGAGTCATCCTGTTTATGGCTCAATTTCAGGAAGGTATCTGTGTATTATAACCTGGGTTCATAATAAAAATTGTAACCTAAGCTTATAGTATAAAATACAAAAGTATTAAAAGCATGAAATACAAGTATTAAAGTATAAAATATAAAAAGTGTATATAATATAACACAATCTTAAACATAATTAGGATGAAGATTAAATATCACTATTTGTTTCTTTTTGTATTAATTTCTTTTGTTTAGGATTGTGATTAATAATGCTAGTTTATCAAGCACATTTAAAATGATCCAAAAGGAAAAAATAATGCCAAAAATAAGCCAAAAGGAAAAAATTACAGGCAGTGCACACTTTAAAGAGGTGCTTTTATATCATAAATATGGATGCTGGTCTTATATGTTTCCAGAATATTTTAAAAATAAGTAATTGTAAATAATAAAGATCCAATATCAAAATACGCTATATATTCATAACTTTTCTCCAAATCACAACAGAAATCCAGGTGATAAATGCAGTTAAAATTCATGTCAACTGTTTCCATTCTGCATTTTGTTAGTTTTATATATTTAACCCATATCTCTTTGCTTGTACACTGTTTGTAGGGCAGACAACAAAAATTATTAGTGTGGCTGCACAATTCTTCAGATAATGTAGCAAACAAAACAGCTTATCACAAATGAAGTACAGAGATATTACAATCACAGTTAGGCCTTAGATCATAAGATATTGCCATAGTTTTATTTTAAAGCAAGTGTAATTTCAAATATTTGGCTCATAATTCATCTACAGCTGAGTGCACTAAGTTCACATATTACTAGTCAGCTATTTTCAGACTGAAAGCATCAACATGATTCCTATGTATCACCTTGACTACAGTAAGAAAAAGGTGATAATGTGTGTGGTAAGGTAAAACCATAGGAGTTTCCAAACATACCTGTCAATGGATGATGCCATGTCTCACAACATCATGGTAGGGGTGACTGATATTTAGCTTAGGATCCTCAGGTGATGGAACCAGAAATGTTTCTTCTTGTTCTGAGTGTGTATCATCCATTTCATCTTTCTGCTGTTCTAAAGGACAAAGCAAGATCACAGAAATGTTCATGAACAGAGAAAATCTTCTGCCTCTGATACATTATTGAATGGTTGAATTTTATCTCAGTTTGATAAAACTACAGGCCTTTATCACTATTCACTGCAGTTACAAATCAGTTTCTTGTTCTTTATGCTTTTTCTTGTGTGGGAAAATAAACTCTTCAATACCCCATTTCTACCTTCACAAACTCCTTGAGATTTGTATCCACAAAAATCTCTATGACTGGACAGCTGGCATGCTGAAACTTTGCTATTCATGACTGCTAGTGTTGTCTCATCATTTTTTACACTCCCTTAATCTGTGTGGATCCATCTACAACTTCCTGCCTTTTATTTCAAGGTTGCCCAAACAGGGAAGGCAAAGCTTCAGCATGCTGGAACACTCTCCAAAGCATATTCACAGCTTGCATAAAGGTAGCAAATTGCAAACAAATCTCTATATCACCTCCCCCAAAATCCACTGTCCCCTTGAAATACTTTAACCTTTCAAACCTGGAATAGGCAAAGCAGCCAAATGTCCATCCAGTATACTCCAGCTAGAGGCCAAGCAAGGGTGTAAATTTCTGCTCAAAAGCTCAGTAAAATCGCAATAAAATGGGCAGCCTTCTCCCAGTTTCAGGAGATTCTGGACTAGATACTAAAGTCTACTTAATACTGAAAAGAACAACACAGTGTTAATCAATATTGTTCCAGGACTTTACAGGTTTGTTTGTTTGGTTTATTTTCACACCCAAGTTTTCTTCCAGACTGTTTTAAGGCTCAAAAAAAATCTCATACAAAGTCCATATTCAAATGAACAGAATCTGGGATAATTAATAATAACTAATATACAAGTGTCTTGGTGGCTTAAGAGAAGACACAGGTAAAGAGAAAAACAAGTGTTTTATGATGTACCACCTGCTGTATGTCATCCACCTCTTGTTATCCTGCAGGTTTTAATGAGGTAGAATTAACATTCTTATCTATCAGTTTGAACACTTGGTAGAGTCATCTGGACATTGTGTTGGGCCATTTTGTCTTAACTGTGCTTTTGCTAAGAAAAGTTGGACCACCTTATCCTTAACATCCCCTTCTAATCTGGTATTCCACTGTTCTATGACCTATAATATTATCAGTATCAAACTAAGAAGTACTAGAACATTTTATCTTCTCATCATCTGCATATTTCATGTTCCTTGACCAACATGCAAGGCACACTAGGGCAGAGAAGATAAATATTGATTTCAGCCAGATTTATGTGCCATCAGAGAGTAAGTGTTAGAGAAAAACTCGTACTAAATATTTTTGAATGTTTTCTACTCACAATTTCTCAGTATCTTTCAATCCTGCAAACAGCCATATGAAGGCTTTATTGTCTCATTTTTAACGTGATTTGCACCCATAAAGCATTTCACAAAGATGAAAAATGCCAGTAGTGGCTGGGCTTCTCCTAAACATAAAGGAGTCAGCAACATGTGTACTACTTTTAAATTTCCTTATGTCTGAATTCACATAAAAGCCTTCTCAGAAAATAAATCAGCAGTCTTACAGGAAAAAAAATCTGCCTTTAGACAGACACCATTAGAGTCCTCTTCATGTACACAAAAGTGTTTAAACCCTTATTATCTCCAAAATATATATTTTTCTACCTTTTAAAAGCTTATATAATATAAAAAGCTACACTTATCTTAACTGGGAAAGTATTCTTTTACTTTACTGAGTGTTTTTTTCCCAAGAGCTGGAAAGAATAAAATACAAACATAAAGAAATAGATAAATTCCACAATTTTTTCTTCATGAAAATATTTAAGTCTTGTTAAAGCTCAGAACAAGTAAAGCACTATTTTATTTATTAGAGGTTTTACTTTTTTTTTTTTTTTTCCCTTCATGTCTAGGCACCATAACCCCCTAAGGCAAGAAAGTTTCAAAGAGAAAAGAGAAAAAGAAATAGTAGCTGCTCATCTGTGGGGATGTGAAGGGCATGTTCAAAAATACAAAAGAAACAACCAATCTGACTTTGAGATGTTCCAAAGACCCAGAGAAACAAAGTAAATATGTACACTTATTTGTACTCCACTTATTCACATGGTCTACAGAAATCCCAATATTAATCATACCTGCTGAAAAGCTAGATAGCCCTAACTTAGTAAGATAATTCTTTTTATATTCCTTTTCTTTCTTTTCTTTTCCTGTTTGAATAAGAGGAGTGGAGCTCAAAAGATTTTTCATAATAAGCATCAGTAAGAAAGAAGATTCAATGTTTCAAACGGAGGGAGACCTCAGCTCTATTTTTCTCCTGAGAATGACCGAGGAGTTCATTGCTCCACAGGCTGTAGGCTCTGTTACTAGTCACAACATTAATGCTGCTTAACCCAGCCTAGGAGACAATGCGAGGAGCCTGAGCCAGAGCTTGGCAAGTTTGAGGATGAAAATTGCATTTGTATCAGTCCCTAGAAGTACAAATGTCAGGTAACTGCTCCTGGAAGTGGTGAAATCAGAGCAAAGGAAAGAGATGGAGAAAGGGAGGCTGAGATTGCGACAGGCTGGGCAAGATCTGGAAGATCCTTGCTCTGGGTTTCAGCCTGGCATCTTCAAAAACTCAAGGGAAAAAAAAATAAAGTAATGCAGATCTTTCCAAATTATGAGCCCCTCATGCCTTTAATGCCTTGGGTCACATTGCTCCACTCAATTAGCATCTCTGGCAGTAACATGCAATGCTGTGTACTCATTCCATACTGGTCTGCTTGGAGTAATGGCTCCCATTTGTGCCACAACATGTGATGATGATGATGATGATGATGTTCCAATAGCCTAAATTTGCACTGGGAACATCTAGCAGTAATTCACAAAAGCTGCATGTATTAAACTAACCTTCAGCCCTAATGGCTTTAATAAGGTACACTTCAGTACAGAAGCTGTAACTAATACCAGATTGCTCCAAGAAATATTACAGAATGTGGGAGAAGCCTCTCATTTACTGAAGATACTCTATTAAATCACTTGTAACTCTACACAGATGCAATTTTGAAATATTATAAAAATATAAACCTACTTCAGCAAATTTCTCATAGTCAACCTCAGACATGTTTCCCCTTAGGAACAAGTATGCAAACCTTGCAAACAGATTCTTGAAGGACAAAGTGATCCTTGGGTCAGCCCTACAAAAATTAACAATGGAAGCTATCATCACAATGTGGCACATTTTATACACTACACAAATAGTGAAAGAAAACAAAAAACCCACCCCAGAAACCCTACTGCTCAGTTGTTGTAGAAGAAAAATCTCACTGACATTTGGCTACCATTTTCTTACTACGAGAGTGCTATAAAACTATTTTAAAACTGCAATCTAAAAAAAATAAAGAAGTTGAATAAACTGATCTCTTTTTATTTCAGTGGAATTGTTCCTCAAAGTACTTGCATATTATGCACCTTTAACGACAAATATCAGAATTTCCGACTAATTCACTCCTGGAAACAACTTAGTACTTACTGGTTTTTAATGTAGATGATGATATATGCACTCTGTACCCTCACACCAGGTGACTTCTCTATAGCAATTCTAAGTTTTATTACAGGAAACATTCTATACCTCATATTTCACATGAAAGAGCACCATGAAAATTTGAAGAGAGCATTAACATATAAAAAACTTAAAAAACAGCCATTCCTCTGTCTAATTGCTGTTTTTTGCAAACAGAGAACCAAGGAACACACTCAAAATTATAATCAGGATCAAAACACAAGATTTAGAGGATCTGTTTCTCCAAGCAGTTGCTCCAAAAAGCAAAATGAGTCCTTCCAAATGCATACTTCCTTTACATTAAAAACCCAGACTCAAGTGTGGAGATGAGAAAGAAATTGAGCTTTTAGGCCTCTCCTTTGAATTTAGTTTACTCCTCTGGTTTACATCAGTTTCGTATTATGTGAACATGTTAAATAAAAACAAAATGGGCAAATTCATGGCCTGGTGGTTGAAAAAAGGCATACACAAGCATTTTCTCCTCTGCCAAGAAATCAGATATTGTATTGCTCCTTCAAATCACTCAGACTGGGAAATTATTTTGGCCCAAAAAATGGCCAGACAGTTTGCCTGCTTGCTGCACCAATTATTTTGTAACAATCTTACTGGTTACTCGTTGAAAATAATTAGCTCCACTTGCAGGAAACTCAATTTAAAAGTCCATACACGCAGGGGAAAGTCCCATTAAGTTCAAAAACAAACATTATTCCATTTTTCACTGAGTAATGATATTCTTTTTAAAAAAAGCAATTATGGGTCGGATTTGTATTCCTATTAAAAGCACATAGTAATTGATATTCCAATGACTACTTAATTTTATTATTGATAGATATTGATATTTAGATATTTCTGAGACTAACAGTTAACAATTGGTATGATAATGTATTTTTTAGCAACTTATCTGCAGCAGGTATTGTAGGTGATTTAGTAATGGTTTGTTCATAAGCACTTTGTATATTATATGCTTATCTGCACCTGTGATCGTCAGGAATAAATGGCACATAAATATCTACTTTGAATGAAAAAAGTGTAAAAGTGTTTATGAAGCCAAGCTACAAAATGAGGAAATAAGGATAAAATAAGGAAATCTGACTTTTCCTATCTTATCAGAACATTTTCACATGACATTTTTTTCCTAAACAAAATTTTTACATTTTGCAGGAATTTAAGGACTTTGAGAAGTTTTCAAGGACCTGTGAATTTGTACTTTCTGAACAAACAAAACCAATGTTCAGTATATCTGAGCTTCGTGGACTTCACCCCAACCAAGGATTTCCAAAAGCTCTTACAAGGAAATGGGGCTTTACCTTCCTTCTGAAGTACCTATTTACACCAGGCCTTCCCAGTCTATTGAATTTAAACCATAAACCATAAATGAAATCATAGGTTATAAAAATTAGGCAATATCTTTGACATGAGAATGCTTGTTAGATGACATAATGAAGGCCTCAATGAATCTTATTGCAGCAACTTGGGAAAAAACAAACAGAGACCACTGTTTCTTCCAGCAGGATCCATCTTTATTACACACACTCCAGTATTTATATATTTCTTTATGTTATTAATAAAGGGTGTAAAGAAAAACTTATTAATAACATAAAGAAATAATCAATTCAGAATAAAACTTTCAGATTATCCTTCCCCCCCCTCTGCTGCACTTTCTTTTCTTTCTTAACAATAACATACAGAAACACTTTGGTCACTTATTAATTTAAATAACCTTTTTTAGTTTACTCTAGGGAAAGGAGTCTCCCCTTGTCCAGCTATAGTGATTTTTTCTACCAGAAGAAAAAATTAACTTTTTCGTGGCTTCACTTTCCACGGACTCCTCCCATTTTCACAGCTTTCCCAAAAGCTGTGCCTTATGGGCCATGTTAAACTCATGGGATACTTTTAAAAATGAACTGTTCAAAAAGCAAAAGTTTTCTTTACATGTGTGTTTCACAAAGACACATAAACTTTTTCATCAGTGTAACAATGTGTAAATTTTAAAAATCTAACACTGAAAACCATCACAAACCACCACAGCATGGGACAAATTGCAATTTCTTTTTCATACTAATTTCTAATGCTATAGTTAGAAGTAGTGGGTCAGTCTAGAGAGGGCAGATTTAAATCTCTTAGACCTGCTGAAAAATACCTTGCTTTTGAATAGCTAAGTGAGAGCAACCATGATAGTGTGAAAACATTCACAAATGTTTAACACAAAAATTTACTGTGAAGCTAGAAATTACTTACATGGAATCAAAGAATAAGGGAAGTGGGGAAGAAGCCATCTGCCTGGTTTTCAGCTTACTGTTCCATTGGGGCAACAACTAGAAAGTTTCCAGTTAGGAAGCAAACTTAGGGTAGCATCCTCAGAAAATAATTTCCTGTTGACTGAAGCATTCTCGGTTCCTGGGAGATAATATAATCTCCTTAACAGTGTTCTGTACCACGTATCACTGTTTCTAGTAAAGTGATTTAGTGCCTTCCCCAACCCCACCCCACCAGAAGGGTAATTGAAAAAAAAAAAAAAAAGTCCCGAATAGACCCAAACTACAAGCCTTTTATTAATAATAGAAATTTGGAAGTATTTTACAAAATATGGCAGACTATATTCCTCCAGAGGCAAGGTTATTACTTACTGACATCCCTAAGGGATTATTACCTCAGCGGAAATGAAGGCAGTCGCACACAGAACTGCCTGGTAATGAACTCCCATCTACAGAGAGTCCAAACAAAGGCAAGAGATTCCTCCAACATTTGTCAAGGCACAGGCACCTTTAATGCCTATTCTTTTTGTTCACTCAGCTGTCAGATATGTTCTTCTTCAAATGTAAATAGTGTGGTTTCTCTTCATTTTTCCCCGATGTTCTTGCCTTTCACAGATATCCTTTGTTACTTTTAAACGGCATGACACAGCTTACCGTGTAACATCGGTCTGCAATTTACATTTTGATAGGATAAGAATTCTGTGTAAAGCCAGTATCTGCTAAGGGGTATCAGATACAAAACCAGGTAAAGGGCTTTCAGGAGACTATTTTATTATTTATAATATGGCAGGAAATTTGCTATGGAATCTATAAACACAGCAATACATGAGCTGAGTGCATAATGCACTCGTGAAAAATGTTTTGAAAACATTCTCCTTGTCTTCCCCTAGGTTGCCTGCCCTAAATTGTATTTTTTCCTCAGTGTATTTCCTACACAATGTCTACCAAACCCCAAGTCTGTATTTCTCACTATAGGCTGGTTTCAGCTATTTAGCATAGTTTCTTTTCATATTCTTTACTGACCTGCCATCCTTTGCAGGCAATACACTGGTGAAAATCAGGGAATAGACACTGAGACTGACAGGGAGAGCACACACAGGGATCTGTTCTTTGGGCCTCTCTCTGCTGAAATAATTTGACAAAAAAAAAGAAACCCAAAGAATTTGAATGCTGCCACCACACAGGTTGTTAAGTTAATAATTAAAATTAAAGCGTTATTACTTCGAAAAGTTCAATGCAAGTTTACTGTTGGGATTTAGGATTTTTCCTTATGTTTCTTTCTTCCAGGGAATTTTCCTCCATGGGTGTTGCTAGGAGACAATAACCGGGTATTTAAGAGAGACAAAAGAGTTCCACAGCTCAGGGGAGGGTGCAGCTGGCTACTCTCTCCTTTTACCTGGGGGTTTCTCTGGGATGGGCAGAAATACCCCTGTGTTTCAAACCAAGACATTTACAAAAGTTTATACTGTTCTGCATGGATATTTCAGTCAAATTTAAAATCACGATAGCTATTCTTCACTGGAACTATATAAATTGATGACCTTATAATTGAGGTCAGAAAAATGTCATGCTAATATTTAGAGCAACATAGTAGAAATATTCCTGCAACTGTTTAGCATTTATCGTGTGTATAAAATTTAACACTGTTTGGGTTCTTGCATATTATATTGACACCTCAGTTCTTTCAGAATTAATGAAGTCAGTAAAAAATTCATAATGGTTAAAACTGCCAGTTCTCCATACAAAATAACACTGTGCTATGTAGTATCACTACTGTATCCCAAAAATAATACAAGAATTTTCCTGGTCTTAATGCTAGAGTGAAAAAATATTATGTTAAAATGTAAGAGAGAAAGGTAAAAACTAAATTCATATGTCAATTGGTATTCATTCATATGTCAATTTGGATTGAATTCAATCCAAATACTTTATTCTTTCTGTATCACATTAGTTTAGGGATTTTTGAACCTCTTTTCATAGAATGATCACAGAAGGAGCTCACAGAAAAGTTAATTCCTCAATGGATTGAGACACAACCTTGCCTATCAAATTCTACACTGATCAAACAGTGCTGATTCCTCTGAAAGAAATTTTCTATTGGACTCCTTCCTTCCATTTCACCTTGGAGAACAGGCGAGCAGTGTTTACTCAGTGATGATATATATTGCCTTACACTTAAGAAGCCCAAGTTAGTGCAGCTGCATTTATTCCAGGATCATAGAATCACAGATCAGTGTGGGTTGGAAGGGATCTTAAAGATCATCTCTTCCCACTCCCCGTCATGGGCAGGGGACACTCTCCACTAGA